CAGTCATCTCTGAAAGCTTCCTTACTTTCTAGTATAGCAAAATGTCCATTTCTTTTCTTTTATTTCCTTTTTCTTTTTTCAGAAGCCTTGCTCTGTTGCCAGGCTGGAGTGTAGTGGTGCGATCTCAGCTCACTGCAACCTCTACCTTCCAGGTTCAAGCAATTCTTTTGCCTCAGCCTCCCAAGTAGCTGGGACTACAGGCACAAGCCACCATGCCCGGCTAATTTCTGTGTTTTTCGTAGACACGAATTTTTCTATTTTCAGTGGAGACAGGGTTTCACCATGTTGGCCAGGATGGTCTCAATTGCTTGACCTCATGATAAGCCTACTTTGACCTCTTAAAGTGTTGGGATTACAGGCGTGAGCCACTGTACCTGGCTTACGTTTTCTTTTCTTTTCTTTTTTTCTTTTCTGTTTTTTTGAGAGAGACGGTCTCCCTCTGTCACCCAGGCTGGAGTGCAGTGGCACGATCTCAGCTCATTGCAACCTCTACTTCCTAGGCACAAGTGATCCTCCTGCCTCAGCCTCTGGACTATAGGTACCTACCACCATGCCCAGCTAATTTTTGTAGATTTTGTTTTGTTTTGTTCTGTTTTTTAATAGAGACAAGGTTTTGCCAGGCTAGTCTCAAAACTCTGGGGCTCAAGCAGTCAACCTACCTCAGCCTCCTGAAGTGTTTCTGTTACAGGTGTGAGCCACCAAGCCTGGCCCAAAATGTCTATTTCTTGCCTCAGCTCTGGAATCAGTGATTATCCAAGGAAGCCCTGGTTCCCTTTAGTGACAAGTTGGATTTAGAAACCACAGTCACAGAACTGACAACCTCTCTACCTGGGAGCCCTCTCCTCATCCCTCACATCTTCATGTGATCCTACTTTTCTCCAACCCTTGACTTTGACTGTCTCAGCCTTTCCACAAGGGAACAAAAGATTAATACCTAAAGGAGACTCATGATATAGTCACGTGTCACCTAATGACAGAGATATATTCTGAGATATGTGTCATTAGGAGACTTCGTCATTGTGTGAACACTGTAATGTTCTCATACAAATCTAGATTGTATAGCCTGGTACATGCCTAGGCTAATGCTCTAGACTATCCCTCCTAGGCCACAAACCTGTATAGCATGTTACTGTACTGAATATTGTGGGCAACTGTAACACAATCATAACTATTTGTGTATCTAAACATATCTAAATATGGGGGTGGTTGGGTGCAGTGGCTCATGCCTGTAATCCCAGCACTTTGGGAGGCAGAGGCGGCAGATCACCTGAGGTCAGGAGTTCAAGACCAGCCTGGCCAACATGGTGAAACCCCCTCTCTACTAAAAAGACAAAAATTAGCCAGGCATTGTGGCTCATGCCTGTAATCTCAGCTACTTGGGAGGCTGAGGCAGGAGAACTGCTTGAGCTTGGGAAGCAGAGGTTGCGGTGAGCTGAGATCATACCACTGCACTCCAGCCTAGGTGACAGAGCAAGACTCCGTCTCAAAAAAGAAAAAAAACAGGCTGGGTGCAGTGACTCTGTAGTCCCAGCACTTTGAGAGGCCAAGGCGGACAGATGACCTGAGGTGGGGAGTTCGAGACCTGCCTGACCAACATAAAGAAATCCCATCTCTACAAAAAATACAAAAATTTGCTGGGCGTGGTGGTAGGTGACTGTAATCCCAGTTACTCGGGAGGCTGAGGCAGGAGAATCGCTTGAACCCAGGAGGTGGAGGTTGCAGTGAGCCAAGATCACGCCACTGCACTCCAGCCTGGGCAACAAGAGGAAACTTTGTATCAAAAAAAAAAAGTCTCCCCACAAAAAATGTCTTCTATCCATAACTCACCTCATCTCTCTTTTTTATTAACAGATTTCTTTATATTTTGAAGCTTTCTTTTAATAATTTCTGAATTGAACAAAAGTTATTCTTTTTCACAAAAAAGAATATATATCTTCCCTGGCACATTTTATATAAACTTAGAAAGCAAAGAACCCTGAACTATCAGATATTGATATTCTATAGATGAGACCCATTCTATAATTTTAAAATTATTTATCTATTTTGAGACAGGGTATCACTGTCACCCAGGCTGGAGTGCAGGGGTGCAATCTCAGCTCACTGCAGCCTTCACTTCCTGGGCTCAAGTGATTCTCCCACTTCAGCCTCCCAAGTAGCTGGGACTACAGGTGCTTGCCACCACACCCAGGCTGGAGTGCAGAGGTGTGAGGTAATCTCAGCTCACTGCAGCCTCCACTTCCTGGGATCAAGTGTTTCTCCTGCCTCAGCCTCCCAAGTAGCTGGGATTACAGGCACCACCATGCCTGGCTAATTTTGTATTTTTGGTAGAGATGGGATTTCATCATGTTACTCGGGTTGGTCTCAAATTCCTGAGCTCAAGCAATCCATCTGCATTGGCCTCCCACAGTGCTGGGTTTACAGGGGTGAGCCACCATGCCCAGCCAATTTTAAGATTTTAAACTACACAAAAAGTTCAACATTTAAAGCCATTTTAACCATTCTAAAGCCTATGAAAATCAGTATTTTATCCAGATAAAAAGCTTGAAGTTAAGTTTTATAGGACACAATATTCCCTTCAAACTAACAAGTTTAGACTAGTCTTATTTGTTTAATTTACGAGTGTTCTTTTATTTATAGGCCAATTTGTTTGGTTTTATTTTGTTTTGTTTTTGTTTTTGAGACAGAGTTTTGCACTTGTTGTCCAGGCTGGAGTGCAGTGGTGCGATCTAGGCTCACCGCAACCTCCGCCTCCCAGGTTCAAGTGAGTCTCCTGCCTCAGTCTCTGGGGTAGCTGGGACTACAGGCGCATGCCACCATGCCCAGCTAATTTCTGTGTTTTTAGTAGAGATGATGTTTCAAGTTGGCCAAGCTTGTCTTGAACTCCTGATCTCAGGTCATCCACCCACCTTGGTCTCCCAAAATGCTGGGATTACAGGTGTGAGCCACCGCGCCCAGTCTACAAGCCAATGAGATACTATACTAGGTACAACGCACATCACACAAATGAAGTGACCTATGCAAGACAGCTGGATTTGTTATTTATAAAATTGGGACCTATCTACCTGGCCAAATATTGTTTGCTCCAATGAGTCAGAAGACAGGAAGAGGCAGGGAAGGGGATCTTGTAGCATCAAATAAGGAAGGGAAGAGGCAAAATCCATTGCTAAAGGGGAGACCTCAGAGTCCCTGTGCTGCCAGAGAGGTTACACAGCAGCAGAGACACAAGAGAAAAATGTTTGGGTGGCTGTTTGTCTGCCACTGTGGGAAGCGGTCCATTGGATCAAGCGTCTGGGACCTCCAGTAAACTTACTTGATTAAGCAAGGTAGCTTGCTGGAGCTATTGGAAGAAGGTTAGTCCTAACATCAACAGGGAGCTTTTTCCTCTCACCAGAAAAAACTTCTCATTGCTGATTACCAGGGGCTGATAAATCGGGTGCTCTTGTCTGGGCATTCCAGACACCAGTCTTGAGACACTTTCTGAGGCTGGGTAATCCTGAGGTGGAAGGGTGCTTACAGCATCACCAGTAATTGGTCTTTTTGGTTATTTCTTTTGGTCTTTTCCATTTTTTCCCTGTCTTTACTGTTATAAACATTAAAGGCCGTGTTTAAGAGTTGGTTCATAGGGGATTGGGGGTCTCACTGCTGCTTTGTGCAGCTTCCTCCTAATGTCAGAGCAGACTGAGTAATAAAATGCACACCCAGGAGAGCTTGTCCTTCCAGGCAGTCTGAGTCTGTATTAGTAGATTTCCTGAGTTTCTCAACCAAACTACCCAGAAAGAGTAAGACTTTCATCTTTACCCTGGATTACATCTCTAACCTTATCATAATTGACAGGGTTAACCATACACTCTCCTCTGCTTTTTCTCTATGTACAGCAAGTGGACCACAATACTTACAAGTCATACCAAGTTAAAGAACATGGTCAATTTAACAAACTCTTCTACAAACTTTCATGGATTCTCTGAAAATTGGCAGAATTTTTCCTTGCAAAAAGCCAAATCAGACATAGAAAATGGCATGTGTATTCTAAGTGTCCCCCCATCTCCATCAGCTACTTCCCACAATGGGCACAGCTTTGACTTCAGGGGCTGATGTGGAGCCATATTTCTGGGCGTACTGGTTGGACTACTTTCTCCAGCAGCAGAAGGTTTAGGCTGGGGCTAGTTGGATAGGTGGAGGAGTGCCTGATGACCTTGGGGTGGAATCCTATGTTAGAGAACTGGCAGGACCCCTCAGAATTGGGAGACTGAGGAGGCTCTGGGAGGGAGTAGGCCTTCTAAGGGAAGCAGCTAGGAGGGGATCCCTTAGGCATGACTTCCTAGTGCCTTTTTTTTTAATCCCCTCCAACCCTCCATGCCTTGAAGTAACATTGAATCAGTAAAGGGCAATGAAAGCCTGTACATAAGAGACCTCTCCCCATTTTCCTTCTTTTTAATGTTAATTATAAAATAGCATTATAATTTACAGAACTATGTTTAGGCTAAATCTCTTGGCCTTCTAATTTGTATTGGACCCGAATGGCGTTGCAATAGGAAATGAGTTGCTTTTTCTTTGAGCCAAAATTGAATTTGCTCCAATAGCCTAAAAGGCATCCTAATGGTGAGTCCTAATGCCGAAAATCACAGAGCATCCAGAGGGCGATCAACAGTGAACCCCACAGACCAAGTTGGGGCCACAAAACAACATGACTCTGGCATCCCAGGGTCAACACAACAGGGGACCTCTCATAACCAAGTGTTCAGCCGTCAACAACTGCCCAAATACAGTTAGCAGGGAGCCAAAGCAAAAACTGCAAAGAAAACATATATTTCAGGGTGGAAAATAAAATAAAATGGCTGACAGAAAAATAAAATGGTGTTAGAAAAGAAATGACCTAGAAAAGGGACAATAAGGATGTGATCAGCTGTGCTAAGGGAGACTTTGAATTGACTGCCTAAGCCAAAGGCCTTATTTTCCTGGCTCATCTGATATTTGGGGGGTGAGGTAAAAGGGATACTTACCTGTCCACAGGAGCCAAAATGGGGCCACCTAGTCTCTGATGTGGGATGCAGGTGAAGGTCTGCTCCCCAGGCTTCCCTGGCATGGGCAGGCTCGGCTGCTGTGAGGAAACTGACATGTGGTCCTGCAGCCTCCCAGTCAGAGCTTTGGATCCCTGTGCTATGGCTGCTCGTCCATCCACTCAGCTCCACCATCTGCCAGGAAAGATGATGGCTGGGAAAAGAACCTTTGGTTAGTGTTCCAGCTGTCTGCAGCTTTGATCCCTACAGCCCTGACTGACTGCTGCACCACTGCCTCTCTGATTGCCACCTCTCACCATCTGACCGGTCACTGTCTTGTCATCTTGCTGTCCCACCATTTCTCCCTCTCTCAAGTCTTTCTTATCACTTGGCCTCTTTGTTCATTGCTACTGTCTTGCCACCTTGCCACTGATCACTGCCATTTCTGCAATCTCAACACCTCATTGGTCACTTCTTCTCACTCACTATCTTCACCCCTTTGTGGCCACCAGAAGGCACAGGACAGGTGAGCCCCGAGAGTGGGGCTTAACCCAGGAGGGTTCTTGGCCTTGCCCAGGAAATAATTCAAGGGCAAGTCAGTGGTGTTATATAGCAACCTTTTCCTGAACAGTGCTGCTTCTTGCAGAGCAGGGTTAACTCATAGGCAGTGTGCCTAGAGTCAGCAAACTGTGGGCTCTCAGCAACTATATTTATACTCACTTATAATCACTTTCAATTGTTTGCAAATTAAGGGGAGGGTTAATGCAAACTGAGGGGTGTGCTATTTAGAACTTTGTAGGAAAGGGGCAGTGACTTTTGGGTCATTGCCAGGGAATGACCCTTGGTGGTAACTTTTGGGTTGTTGCCATGGCATCTGTAAACTGTCATGGCACTCCTGGGAGTGTGTTATGTTAATGAGCAATGAGGGCAGCTAGGAATTGCTTTTGTCCCCATCTGCTGGTTTTGACTAGGTTCTTGACTTTATCTTTTCTGGACTATATTCTGTTTTGGTTGGCAGGACTGTAGCCAGAAAACAAATTCTGCTAGTCTTCTATCTCACTATAGCACAATAGGCACTTGAAAAATGCTTACTGAATTGTATAAATGCTCTCACTTGACCCTAACTATAAGACTAAAGTAGCCATCAGCGTCCCACATTACCAAAGAGGACATTGGTTCAGAGAATTCATGTAATTTGCCCAAGGTTGTTCCACAAATATGGCAGAGCTGGGATTCAAACCTAGGTCTTTCCCACCCCAAAATGCCACCTCTCTAGAAGTCTCCCTAAAATGTGTAAAACCAGCTGTGCTCAGACCACCTTAGGCACGTGTCATCAGGACCTTCTGAGGCTGTGTCCAGGTATGCATCCTTAATTTTGGCAAAATTAACTTCCTAAATAGACTGAGACCTGTTCACAAGGCCAATGAATCACTGCTCTTCATAAGATTAAATAATTGCTGGTGTGGGAGCAGTAGAGCCACTAAACTGGAAAGAGGACACGGTGGTCAGGAAGTGAGGGGCTTGAAAGTGAGAATAAGAGGCAAGACGGTCATTGGCCATGAAAAGGTCAAGCATGTGACATCCAGAGTAGGAGGCTCAAGACCATGCGAGGCGTGGAGGTCAAGCAACCGAGAGGCCAAGGTGTCAGATCACTCTCCAAAGAGTGGATCGTGAAAATGAAGGTAGTGAGGCCAATGCTCAAGTCCTTAAGAGACAAGGAGGAATGACCAGGGCACTGGCAGGTGACAGCAACCAGGAGGGAGGCAGGTTTTCAGTCTGATGGCATGAACATCAAGGGATCTTTTTGCAGCATCTACAAGGCACTGGGATAGAAGACACACATAGTCTCCCTCCTAAGTGAAGTGGGTTAGGCAAGGAAGGGTTCTAGGCAAGGAAGTTACAAGATCCAGCTAGATTGTGAAAAGATCTCTTGGACTACTGTATAGAGAATGGATTGGAGGGAGGTTCACTGGCATTAGGGGGCTATTAGAGTCACTTAGACGAAGGTTGTGAAAGGGTGGACCCCAGACCAGCAGTATCACCATCACTGAGAACTTGTTAGAAATCCACATTCTGGGGCCCCACCTTCAGATCTGCTGATTCAGAAACTCTGGGGTGCCTGGAGGGGGGTCCTGTTATTGGAGTTTTAACAAGCTCCCCATCATTCTGATGCAAGCTGAAGCCAAACAAATGAAAATGGTCACAGGATTACGGCAGTAGAAAGGGAGTGGATGAAGCTACAGTTTCTTAGGGGAAGAATAAGCACAGGGTAGCAAGGAGTTTTGGGGGGAGGGAGTGGGAAGCACCAGGTTTCCGGAAGGAGGAAGTGGGCGGTTGGGAGTATCCTGTACCCCAAAGACATGGGGAAGGCTGGAGGAGGAGCAGAGGAGCAGGGCAAGATCAAGAGTTCGGTTCTGTCCATAGCATGGGACACGTGTGTTCCAGAGAAGCTGGCTGGAAAGTAACGTTGTGGGTAAGAACCACATTCCGCCCTAGTTCCCCAGGTCAAATGCAAGACATGCTCCTGCAGAAAAGCTGCACTGGCAGCTCTGGGACATGGCATGACAATGACATGACACACTCTGGCTCTCTGTGGTCCAGTTAAACTTGTCAGTATTACACACTTGCAATTGAGGGCATGGTGGAAAGAGCATGGAGCCTGGAATCCAGAGGAATCAGCCCCTGGGGTTGTCTTTTCCCACCAAATCATTTCACCTCTGTGAGCTCATTTCTGCATTCCTTTGTTCTTATTTTATTTATTTATTTTGTTTCTGCATTTTAATTTTATTTTATTTTTAAGACAGAGTCTCACTCTTTTGCTCAGGCTGGAGTGCAGTGGCATGATCTTGACTCACTGCAACCTCTGCCTCCCAAGTTCAAGCAATTCTCTGCCTCAGCCTCCCAAGTAGCTGGGATTACAGACTGAGTAAACTGAGGCAGAAGAATCGCTTGAACCTGGGGCATGGAGATTGTGGTGAGCCAAGATTGTGCCACTGCACTCGAGCCTGAGCAACAGAGTAAGACTCCATCTCAAATAAATAAATAAATAAATAATAAAACCTGCTTTTCTTGTTGCTATCATGTGATGGCAGTAGAAAGATGACCAATCCCTTTAAACACACTTTCCTTCCTGGTTGTGGTCTTCAATTCACTGTGTAAGGTCATTCCTTTGACTAGACCTTTTGCTTGTAAAACTGCAGTATACCTGGAATGGTGACATTCTACAACAAATACCTACCTTTTATTTACTGTGTACTATGTGCTGGTGTTTCATATCCACTCTTTCATATGCCTTGAAGGAATCTTGTGCACTAGATATTGCTGTGCTCACTTTATAGATGAGGACATTGGGCTCAGAGACCAGGGGACTTGCCCAAATTCACAGAGCTTGTGGAGGGTAGAGCCAGCACCTGACTGCCTGCCTGCCTGTGATGCTGTAGTCTCCCTGCTCTTGCAAGCAGCTTTGGATGGGAAGGGTCAGGACACTGGGCATCAAGCCTGGGGAAAGAGAGCTTATCTGGGAATAAGGGCAAAGAAAGGATCCCAAAGGCTGGGGCTTGAGGATCAGATTCAGTTGACCCTGCCTAGGGCAAAGGAATTGTTCTGTGGACTTTCTGCTCACTGGAGTGCAGTGGCATGATCTTGGCTCACTGCAACCTCCACCTCCTGGGTTCGAGCGATTCTCCTACCTCAAACTCCTGAGTAGCTGGGACTACAGGCACATGCCACCATGCCCAGCTAATTTTTTTTTTTTTTGTATTTTTAGTTTCACCGTGTTAGGCAGGATGGTCTTGATCTCCTGACCTTGTGATCCACCTGCCTCAGCCTCCCAAAGTGCTGGGATTACAGGTGTGAGCCACTGCACCCAGCCCCTCTGCTCATTTGTTCTATAGGTTAGAGGACACAAGGAACCCAACTGCCTCATCTGAGGTCAGGAGTTCAAGACCAGCATGGCCAACATGGTGAAACCCTATCTCTACTAAAATTACAAAAATTAGCCGAGCGTGGTTGTGGGTGCTTGTAATCCCAGCTACTCGGAGGCTGAAGCAGGAGAACTGCTTGAACCCAGAAGGTGGAGGTTGCAATGAGCTGAGATTTCATCACTGCACTCCAGCCTGAGTGACAGAGTGAGACTTGGTCTCAAAAAAACCAATCCAAGCTGGGCGCAGTGGCTCACGCCTGTAATCCCAGCACTTTGGGAGGCCGAGGTGGGTGGATCACGAGGTCAAGAGATCAAAACCATCCTGGTCAACATGGTGAAACCCCGTCTCTACTAAAAATACAAAAAAATTAGCTGGGCATGGTGGCGCGTGCCTGTAATCCCGGCTACTCGGGAGGCTGAGGCAGGAGAATTGCCTGAACCCAGGAGGCGGAGGTTGTGGTGAGCTGAGATCGCGCCATCGAGCCTGGGTAACAAGAACGAAACTCCATCTCAAAAAAACAAAAACAAACAAAACAAAAGAACAAATTCACAGAGAGGAGGGGAAGGAGGCTGCCACAGCCTTGGGGTCTCTTTTCCAGGGGTCTTAATACATTCATTTTGCACATGAACAGCATTATGCCTTATGAACTTTGGTGCAGGCAGGAGAGTGATTAGAGGAATTTCAAGGCTATGGTAGCTGATGACACCAGCATGTGACATGAGAGATCAGCCAAGCCAGGAAGGAGCCCAGTTCCTTATCTCATATACACAGAAGCCAAGGGCCTTGTCCCCAGGGCTGGGATCGTTCAGCAATAGAATCCCAGACTCCCCATGTGTTAATCACTTTAATCCTCTTCAAAAGAATTGCCATGCCCAAACAACACACACTCCAGGAAGAACTGGCATCTACTGCATGAGCATGGCCTTCATGAAAGACTTTTCTGGCAGGGTGCAGTGGCTCACACCTTTAATTCCCAGTATTTTGGGAAGCCAAGGGGAGAATTGCTTGAGCCCAGGAGTTCAAGACCAGCCTGGGCAATATGGCAAGACCCCATCTCTACAAAAATAAAAAAGATTAGCCAGGCATAAGGCCCACTCTTGTAGTCCTAGGTACTTGGGAGGCTAAGGTGGGGGTATCACTTGAGCCCAGGAGTTTTAGGCTGCAGTGAGCTACAATCATGCCCCTGCACTCCAGCCTGGGTCTCAGAGCCAAACCCCATCTCTAAATACATACATAAATAATAAAAATAAAGAATGTTTTCTGGCCAGGCGTGGTGGCTCACACCTGTAATCCCAGCACTTTGGGAGGCCAAGTTGGGTAGATCACTTGAGGTCAAGAGTTCAAGACCAGCCTGGCCAACATGGTGAAACCCC